TCCAAAAAGTTTTAAACCTATTGAAGTTTTGCTAATTTAATCCTAAACCTTTTAATTTGACCAATTTAGTTATAAACATTTTCATGTTTTGCCAATTGAGTCCATCTGGCCAATTTTGGCAGGAAATTAATGACGTGGATGCTTGCCGTCCTACATGGCACGGCTAATTGAGTTATAAACCTTTTCTTTTGTTTGATTTTTTTTTTTTACAACTTTGGCCGGCAAGAAGTGCAAGAAAACTTAACAACAATATTCATATACACAAAGTAGAAAAACTTAACAAAAAAAATCGATTGATAATAGCAATAAAACTATTGTGTATGTACACCGTGATGTTATGACTTTTACAAAATGATATTTGTAAGACCACGATTTAGTGAGAATATTATCTTGGCATATTCATAGAAGAAGTATGAAAAATACTCAATTACTTTCTTGGTGCAAAAAAGAAAATGCAACTTTATGCGCTATTATTGATCGTATTCCTTTTATTAAAATATTAACTTATCAACCTTTTTTTCGTCTAATGAATTAGTACTTAACCAAATAACATTATTACAAGTCTCAGCTAACCAACCTAAGACGAACACAATATCAAAAAGAAGAAAATGAAAAGTTGGAACTCAATAACTAAAAGCTCATTATAGATGTATATGCAATTGTCATGAACCTTTTGTTGATAATTTGTTTGTTAATTCATTAGTGCTTAAGCAGATAAAAAATGTAAAAGAAATCTAACCGACCAATAGAAAAAAAAATCATAGATTGGAAATTGGGTAATTTAAAAAGAGAAAGCAATAAAATTGGAATTTAATACATCTCATAAGTTTCAATCTCGCAAAAAAGTATACGTTTGCCTAAAGTCAAAAATAAAATCAAAACTTTACTATACACGAATTATAACCTAATTTTTAGAATCACACTACTTCGTATCAATATACGACTCTCTCAATCATCAATATGCATCTTTCCAACTTTTCACATAACCTATTTACCATGTTAATAAGAGAAATCCGTTGGTCATTTGGCATGTATTAATATATGAAAGTTTTAAATGTAATACAATAAAAATCGAGAGAAAAATAATAAAGAATGTCACGGAAATACTTAGTAAGAAGAGTTATGGGAAATGCTATAAATTTTCATAATTATTAACTTTCAACATTAAATCTCGGTAAAACTCGTGTGCTTTTTTTTTGTTGAACAAAACAGTGACATTGGATGTGCTTTGGACGAGGCAAGCACAACATTCTAGTTGGAATAAAAAAAATAAAGTGAGAAATGCAAGAAAAGTATTAATAAAAATTGATTTTTAGAATGATCAACCTCGTGCAGTTTTTGTTATTATGGCTCCGTTTATTTTGCAGAAAATGTAATATTTTTAAAAAATATTTTTTAGGAAGTCATTTTTCAAGAAAATAACAATATTTTTATGGTGATTGCCGAAACCTGAAAATGAACTGAAAAATATTTTTCATCATTTGATATGAAAAATCTGATTTGATTTTTCTAAATAAACATACACTATACGGGCGCTAGTAATTTGTGCATGGGTAACCGGGTATGGGCACTAGAATCCTAGGCCGACCTCGATGGACTAGGACCTGGGTGCTAGGATCAGGGCATGGGCACCTGACTCCTGGGCCCGGGCCTCTATGGACCCGAATGCGAGCACCGAGGTCCCGGGTCAAGCCTAGATGAACCCAAGCATGGCCTCGATGGACTCGAGAATGCCCTTTGTGGACTTGGGCCCGAACGCCGAAGACCTATTTTCGGATGCCCGGGACCCGAGAACCATCCTTGAGTTTCCTTGCCAAAGTGTAGGGTTTCGAGTTCAAGTGTATATACCTAGTCATATTTTGAAAAATGATTTTCGATTTTTTAAAGAAGAAATCATTATCTTGAATTTAAGCATAGATTTTGCATTGACTCATTTTTCTAAACGAACCAAACGCCAGAAAAATGAGAAAAAATATTTTCCACGAAACAAATGGAGCATATATGTTTATAGATAGTGTGCTATTTTTATGTCCAAAAAGGCAAGAGGTAATTAAATGGAGCGATAAATCTTATGAAATTAAAAAAGAGGGGGTTCGCCAAAAATTCAAATGGCGCACTTCATCCGAAGTACCAGCAAAGGCGGAGGATTTTCAGGAAGAAAAATAAAATGCACTTAGCGCGACAATTCCAATTACTAAGAGAATAGAAAAACTACAAAAATTACTCGAATGTGATAATCCAAAATTCATTCAATTCAAAGCTGTTTTCTTTAAAAACTCAAACTTTCGTCTATATCAAACAAATTTTATATTATTTATCAATTACAAGAAATGATACTAATTATTATCATGGGACTCTGACGAAAAAACACGATAGCGTGATAAAAAAATTTAAACGGTTTTAGTAATAACATGAAATGACACTAAATCCCATTTAAGGAGAAATTAACGAAGTTGCAAAACAAATAATTGTGAGTGAGATTCGTGATGAAAAATGCATATATATCTCAATTTCAAATACATGTTAAGCGCGCACACAAAATATTGCAGCGTGTGATTTTTCTTAAAGGGTATGATATAGGGGGGTAAAGATAATTTTTTTTTTGTCGAAAAATAAAGTTTATGTGCTGTGGTACTTGCAATTGGATAGTTGTTTACCGGTCTTTATTTGTGTAGTGGTGAGGCTGTCATGGATGTAATATACAATATAAAAGGGTTAATACCACGAAAAATCCCAAACTGATACACCTGTAACAAATTTACCTCAAACTAATTTTTTTAATAAAAAAACCCTAAATTGGTACGTATGTGACAATTTTACTCTCCGTTAGTTTTTGTTAAATTTTATCGTTAAATTTATGAGTTGGATGACACGTGGCAGTTGGTGAGTATACCTGGGGTTTTACCCTCCGTTTGTCATAAGTGTACAAGTTTGTGAACTTTCATGGTATTAATTCAATTCAATGGAGGGTAAATTTGCCACATGTGTACTAATTTGGGGTTTTTCGTGGTCAAAAAATTAGTTTTGGGTAAATTTGTTACAAGTGTACCAGTTTTTGATTTTTCGTGGTATTAACCCCAACATAAAATTAGTATTAAATCTCAATTAATAGAGAAAATACAACTAATAAGGAGTTGACAGAAACTAACAGATTTGTATCAAATTTGTTAAATTAATCGATGATAAATAGATTCATTTCAATATTTCATAAATTTGCCTGTCGGGAACGTATCGGACCGAATCCAGCGCTAAGATAGTAGCCGAGAATCGACGACTCTGATAATCATGCATTGCGCGTTGTGCTTAGCACATATTTTCCTCCTAAGCACGATTAAGTCCAAAGGGCGAGCACGAGCTTCCTCACCAAACCACATGGAATGCACCAAGAATTCCAACTAATTAACGTGTCAACTTTTCGAAGCTGTCGAGGGTCAACGACACAAAGGCTCGAACGGCCGTGATTGGCGCCCGAGACGCACCATCTTGATTTCCCTTCCGACATTTCCTACTCGTTTTTCGTTATCGAATAGTAAATATCGTTACTGATTTTTTAGCAATTATTATTATTTACGCCCATTAAATTTGCTTTGTGCCGTAATTCAATGCGACGCCGCGATGTCAGCACGGGGACCGTGATCCCTGGCCTCCGTGAACCCCCTTCCTCCCGTACGGAAAAAACCCCCAAAAAAAACATTCCCTTAACGGCCTCCGTAACGACCCGCTGACGTGGACTCGCGAGCCCCCCGTCCCCTTCATGTCGTCCGACCGCGATTAACGGACGCCGTCAAGAGGGAGGGAAACGGTCATAAAAAGTCGGTTGTGCTCTGCTCGCAGCAGGAGCCGGGGGTTGTGTTTTGCAGCGAAAGGGAGGATCGGCACGTGATCGCCGACGCTGGGCACGTGCGCGGCGGGACAGCGATTGGACTGGAGAGAGAGAGAGAGAGAGAGAGAGAGAGAGAGGAAAAGAGTGGTTAGTAGCGGTTAGGGAGGTTACTGAGGGGTACCGAGGGGTGGTTAAAGTAGTGGTTAGTGTCACCTTCTGAAATTAATTATGATGGCCAAAAAGCGCAAAAAAATAAAAAAAACAGCTGTTTTCTTTTTGTGCTGGTGGTTTTCTTCCGGTACTGATTATTTCGGTATTTTTTTTAGGCTCGTTGCAATACAAAGTAGGAACTTTTTTTTTTTTAATTTTACGGATGGGCCTAAATTATTATGAAAAATTACATTGATCTGTAGCTCCTCCCTCAATTTCACCTTTCGCTTTCAACAACAGGGGATAGTAATATTTTGGGTTTTATGGGTATTTGATTTAATTAGACTACATTTGATTAGCGACATGTAATTTTCAATCTTAAAGTAGATCTGTGATTTTCAATCTTAAAGTAGATCTGTGAAAGCGACCGCCCATCCCTGTAATGGAGTGAAGTAATTACACGAGACATTTCGTGGACTGATGTCGCTGTTTATACGGGTTTATTGAAGTCGTTATTTTTATCGAAGTAAATCTTGCTCGTGCTTAATTAAATTGCTCGTATGAAACGAGTCCTATTCTTTTCTTTCAAATTTTTGCCCATATATATAATGATCTTTTTCAATTATTTCTTTTTTGTAAATTGTATGAAAAATTTGTAAAAAACGGAAGAAAATCACAACAAGATTGATTATATGATATATCAAAAGAGAGAATCAACTTCACAATTGACTTGACTACACATTCGGCCAATAATAATTTATAGACGCGCAAAATTCATCATTTTGAAACTGCAATCGGTCATAAAGAATCTACGTCTCTCGTAATATTTTCAACCGTAAGGTTGCTTTTTGTCCACCAATAAAAAGGAAAAAAAAAAACAAAACCGAAAAAGAACAAGCTTCTAGTTGGCTAACGGCGTTAGCGGGGGATAACGGCGTCGGTGTGTTTCCGTTTGGGTGAAAACTTTGTTGGCGTGGAAATTCTATAAAAGCGTACGTTTTGCTGCACCTTCTTCTCCGACTCTCCACTTCTCTGCTTTACCTTGCTTTCGCTTCTTTCTTCTCTCTACATCACCGTCTTCTTCACCGAGAGAGAGAGAGAGAGAGAGAGAGAGAGAGAGAGAGAGAGTCTGCAACTTCCGACGGCGAATGGCGGCGGCGAAGAGCCTTGTCTGCGTGAGCGGGGCGGTGCTCCTGATGCTGTTCATCGGAGCAACAATCATGGGAATGTCTCCGTACCGGTACACACACGCACACTCTCTCTCTCTCTCTCTCTTCCGTGTTCGAGCTCACGCGAAATGCAGATTCTCCTAGAGCATCTTCGCTCTCTAGATGCGTGAAACTGAGAATGCGCTCGCACGTACTCGCTCTTCGACCTCCGTTCCTCGGCACAAGCTGCTTCTTCTTCTTCGGCAACGAAATTTACCCACCTGCATTGCGTTATCGCTGCCCGAATCGAGAGATTCTCGAGGTCCGGCGAACAACGCACGCTGTCGCGTCTCCTTTTTGACTCAAATGCTTTCGAGCAGCTCCCCCCTCTGTTCTTTTTCTTCCTCTTCTTTTTGCACTTTTGTACCGCGAATTGGCGTCAATGAGCTTTTCCCTCTTTCCGTCGCATCGAGAAATAACGCTTCCAATCGCTAATCCTGTGCATGATTCTCTAGTTTCCCCATAGCCACTATCTCCGCACATTCAGGCTTTAAAATCCCTGCATAATGTAGCGGCTCCATCATAGCTATGTCGGCGATCTCTCTCTCTCTCTCACATACACACCCGCGCACAGCTCTCTACCATCATTGACGACCACCGGCATTTTTGGTACGGAAAGGCGAAAACAGCGCACAAAGCACTTTTGCGAAAACTTTTCAATTTCTTCTTGTCGAACTCCCTGAAATCGTTCACGCTATAGGGACAGTAGCAATTCATAACATTCTTCTGATTTCGTGCTTTTTTCTTCCCTGTAGGAATGTGGAAATGGAGAAGATGCTGCAGAGCTCGAGCAACTCGTCAATGGCCGCGAGGTAACTCACTCGGACCTCGCTCGTTCGTTACTCAGTCCTTAGTAACCTAACAAAACCCCCACCCGAGGTCGAACCAGATCTGGACCGTCGAATCCGCGGTTTTACGCCGATTCTTGGCCGTCGGATTCGCCTGTCAACCGGCTCGCAACTGGTAGAAGAGGATCTCGGCCGCTGAGTTCCGGATCCCCGGATCTGGACCGTTTGTTCGGTTACCTTTTGGTTCCTTAGGATTCCCGTAGCAGCTATAACTAAATCCCGATTGGCCGTCTCGCCCAATCACTGTTAACTCCCCGTCCTGCATTGTCACCAAAATATAAAGAGAAAAAAGAAAATCCGGTTCTGGTAATTTTGGTGAAATCACGTGGTGTGTCGCCTGGGCGTTTTCTCTCTCTAGCTTTTTCTCTCTCTAGACTTGGGGCCTCTTTCGTAACGGTTTTCCACCGAGCCTAGCGAGGGTAGTGACCCGTCGGCGGCCGCCCTCGGCCTTGAGCAGTGCACACTCTACCCTACGCGCACTACCCCCATTCTCGCGAAGCGGTGCTATTCTCTTCAGCAGAGAGAGCGACACGTGTCCCGCAGCCGTGCTTGTCTTTGCACCTGTCGCTCGCTGTTTTTTTTTTTGTTGTTTTAATGACCCGTTTTCTGATGCGGCCCATTTTTCAGCTCGGAGGCGGCGGCGGACCACTCGAGCCGCCGGCATGCGGTGGAAGATCCGGAGGAAATTGCTTCCATGGTGGAAATGTGAGTGTCTCTTTTCCTCAATGTTTTTTCAAATGCGACTAGCGATTCTTCTGGCGACGACGCTTCGCATGGTTTAAGGATGTTGTTCGTGGCGGGTGGTGGGTAGGCTGGTTAGGGAACTGGTGGAATTTACTGTCAAATTTCTTGAAATTTGCTAATTTTGCCCGTCCGTTTCTTGGAACTGTGGAAATCGGGTTCGTCTTAAATGAGGTTTTTCACGGCGGTGAGGGAATCCAAGGAAACCAAAACCTCCTCGCCCCCCCCTCCGACATGCCCGTTGGGGTGGTGAGTTCCGGTTTTTCTCGGGTCATAAATTCTTCCATCCCTTTTCCGTCCCTTTCCTCATCCGTTGATTTCCACTCGCTCTCCAGCAAAAAGTTGATTCACCGAGGCTTGTTGTTTATATGTAGCGTCTCCGTTTCCTCTTCTCCTCGCAGTTGATTGCGACACACCCCCCATCTCTGCTAAGATCACTCCCCTTCTTCCACGGCTGCCAAAAATGCCCTTGATTGCTTAGGACAAACTCAATTTGGCCATGTCCAAGCCTATGTACGACTTAGCTTTCTACTGTTTTGGCGTGGGAGGGGGAAAGTGATCGAGCGACTCTAGCAATGGCTTTTCTGCAGAAAGGTGGGAAGAGGGTGAAAAAAGAAAGAGATCCCCCTTTTCACATTTTATGGCGACTCTTAAGAGCGTGAAAATTCTTATTACACACCACAATGAGAATGACAGATGGAAAAAAAAAATAAGACTTTGTGCCGGTGAAGATACGGATCCAAGCACCCCCATGTGTGTGCAAGAAGACAAATGGCTGTATCGACCTTGGTCTCGCTTGCCGCTTCTGAAATCAAGCCTGTGAAATTCTATCCGTTATACTGAATAATAGATCCAATTGTTCTCACATACCGACGAAATGCTTACTTTTTCTGGGCATTTGTAATTTACTGTTGCACACCTGTTTGTAGATCTGGTTTTTGGCCGTTTGAGGGAGAATAGTGGCAAGTCACCTTCACCGACACAAACGAGAGACATTATTGGCCATTCCACTGTCCATATTACGTTTTTTACAATCCAATTCTCTACTGTCTCTGACCAACGATTTCTTTGCTCTTCTTTTCTCTCTGGCACGTTTCCCGAATTAAGAAGGGGATAATTTCTTGCTACGATTTTCCTTACCAAAAAAAAATAATTTCTTGCTACGATCACAGGGCACATCGAACTAAATCATGAGATTAAATAAACATATCCGATAGTTTAGACATTCAGAGAGATCTTTCCAGTTTCTTTTCCTTCTCTCACAAAGAAAGATTTTCCTGAAAGAAAGTCTTCAATTGTGATTAAGAGAGGGTGTGTTTGTGTAGGAGCATCCGCAATAGCACCGAGAGGCGTAAATTGGGTTATTTCTCATGTGGAACTGGTAATCCCATTGATGACTGTTGGCGGTGCGATCGCAACTGGCACAAGAATCGCAAGCGCCTGGCCAACTGCGGCATTGGCTTTGGTCGCAATGCCATTGGCGGCCGTGACGGGCGGTTCTATGTCGTCACCGACCCGAGCGACGATGACCCTGTCAACCCAAGGCCAGGCACCTTGCGCCATGCTGTGATCCAGGACAAGCCGCTCTGGATTGTCTTCAAGCGGGACATGGTCATAGTGTTGAAGCAAGAGCTGATCATGAACAGCTTCAAGACCATCGATGGCCGCGGTGCCAATGTCCACATTGCCAATGGAGCATGCATCACCATTCAATTCGTCACCAACATTATTATTCACGGTCTTCACATCCATGACTGCAAGCCCACTGGCAATGCCTTGGTCAGGAGCTCGCCAACTCATTATGGCTGGAGGACTATGGCCGATGGCGACGGTGTATCCATTTTCGGGTCGAGCCATATCTGGGTGGATCATAATTCACTCTCCAAATGTGCCGATGGCCTTGTGGATGCTATCATGGGCTCAACATCCATTACCATATCCAACAACCACCTCACCCACCATAATGAGGTGCATCTGAATTTAATGATTGTTGCTTGATTGTTTGGGAGCGACCTGCTTCTTACTAATCAAGTGCTGGGTACCAAAAAGGACCTGTCCTGATTGACCATGTTACTTTTACTCGTTGAAACAGGTGATGCTGTTGGGCCATAGTGATTCTTACACAAGAGACAAGCAAATGCAGGTGACTATCGCTTACAACCATTTTGGGGAGGGCCTCATCCAGAGAATGCCAAGGTAGGATCTGACTTTCAACCCCTCATATTGAATGACTTTATGTAGTTCACCAGAACTAAACAAGATAACAGCATCTGCATCGGATTTTAATAGTGACGAATGCTATATATACAAAGATCAGAAAACGATATTATTAAAATTCCCCAAGATTAATATTCCAAACGAGTTAATCTAAAACACAAATGCAAATGCAGGTGTAGACATGGTTATTTCCATGTGGTGAACAATGACTACACGCACTGGGAAATGTATGCAATTGGTGGTAGTGCCAGCCCCACTATCAACAGCCAGGGCAACAGATATGCAGCTCCGTCCAACCCACATGCGAAGGAGGTAACAATTCGTCAAACTGCAAACTGAGTATACCTTTCAGTAATCTCCTTGTTGAACCGCAAAAAAAGCATGCTTGAGTATAAAATCTACAGAAAATAATCGTTTCACTCTCTCTTCATTAACAAGTGAACGCAGTCAAATTAGTGCAGTGCAATGTTACAGTCCTCATATCAAGTCCTCATCTAGTACAAGGTCTAGGACCGATCTCACATAGAGTTTGAAACGTGATCTGTTACATTGACTAAACTACATCCAGCAAATGGTAATGGGGAGATGTCGAACGGTTTTTGCAGGTGACTAAAAGGGTGGATACAGCAACAAGCCAGTGGAAGGGCTGGAATTGGAGGTCAGAGGGAGACCTGTTGCTTAATGGTGCCTACTTCACTCCATCAGGAGCCGGAGCCTCCGCGAGCTATGCTCGTGCTTCAAGCCTCGGAGCCAAGTCCTCCTCCATGGTCGGCTCCATCACTTCTGGTGCCGGCGCTCTTTCCTGCCGCCGCGGCCAGCAGTGCTAATAGCGACTGAAGTGGCCTCAAAATGGGGGTCAATTTTCCCTATCGATTGATTTCCACAATTCGCAGTATAATATAATATATTCCCTACCACATCCATTGTTTTCACATACCCCATCTACGTGATTTGGCAAGTGTACAAATTCTACACATTGTCATGATATATCACCCAAATTCCTACCCCACTTTCAATTTCCCCTGTTTTCAGGTTTTCCATCTGTTTCCAACCTCGGCCTGCTTTGAATCAACAAAACCACAGCCATACTTAGAAGCAGGTGCGGAAGCGTTGTTGATTTGTTATCTTCCTTTTCCCTGATTCGTGTCATCCACCCAGTTCATCGTCCCCATCTTCTTCCTAACCATCATCATTCAAACCAGTCAATTTGTGTGTCTCTCACCGTCAGTGTCGTCGGTTTCTTACATATTTTCTTGCCATTTGAGTCTATAGGTTCCGGACGATTCCCGAATTTGTGTTTACCTTCTTTTTGTCTTAGCAATACGGGCGATTAGTACGAATGTGAAACCTCGAGTCCTGGAAAGACTTTCTGTTACAGTTGATGCATAGAAATAGCAGTGTTGTTTCCTTGGCTTTCTTTTTTCTCTATCAACTTTTTGCTGCTTTCTTTTGCGTTCTTTGCTTTTTGGAAACGGAAGCCATCTTCTTCTTTCCAGGCTTTCCTTTTTCTTTACTTGGTCGTGCGATTGTGTGTGTGGTTTTTCTTTGTTGTATATCGTAATTTATTCTCTTTCTCTCTTGGTTTGTTCTTTCATTCACCGGCAGCCTTGATTCTCTTCCATGTGCACCGCCCCCACACGCACATGCACATGCACATGCACATTAATCATTGCTTTAACGAAACTAGGTCTCGCTTTATCTCATATAATCACCGCTTCAAATCCTCTCCTCTCCTCTCCGCTCCCCAATCTTCACGACCCCAATTAGTATCATCAACTTTTTTGGCCAGCTGGGGGAATTTTAATCATTTCGCTTTTTTCCCTGCGACCATTATTACCTTCCCCTTACATGAGTCGGGACATGCTATCATCATCATCAGTGAATGCATAATTTCAGGGATCATCTCAAATTTGCCCTAGAATCTATGACGATCTCTCAAAATAAAAAAAACGAAAAGAAGTGCAATTACTGAGAAAAGCTTCGAGAGAGAGAGAGAGAGAGAGAGAGATGACAATTACTCGAGTTCACGTGGTGGACGAGGCAAAAGCAGGAACACATGCCGATGCATGTGGTGGATGGGTCCATATGGCATGAGATGTGAAGACAGTCATCTCCCACCACCACGCTTCTTCGTATGTGTGCAAACTGCAAAGCGTGCAAAACCATCTTTGCACAACGAATGTATGACTTGCGATATCCTTCATTTCCTTTCAATCAATTCGGTCTCTTGGCACCTGTCAATTCATTAGCACTGGCACTCCCGATCCTCTAAAGTCCCAACCACAGGAATTAAAAGTCAAGCTCCTTGCCAAAAAAACGGTTCTTTTTCTAACCTGTTTATAGCTACAATTTTGTACGCAATGTGGATGCAATTGCAGGGAAGTGACTCCATTCATTCTCACGTAATGTTTAGGTTCTCAACAGAGGACCCCTCTTGAATTCAAGATCTAAGAATCAATCAATGAGCAAAGGCGGACTCGTGGAAACGGGTTTGGCGACGGGACATAATTTAATTAATTAATACCCCGCATTCATTCCTGAGTTTGGTAAAAGGGCAAAGTAAAGTCGCCGGTCTTCTGATTGGAACTCCTTGAATTGGGTCGGGTTTCGGCTAATTCGAATCCAGGGTCGCCTTCGCCTAATGCACAAAACCAAGAACCGGGTCCAAGATAGACTCGCACATTACATACAGGAGGTCAAGAGTTACACGTCTCAATGGAAGAATTAAAGGACCATTTGACCTTTTACCCAAATGCAAGCCCCTTTTAAAAGTCTCTTTCCAACAGCTTTTTTTTTTTTTGGGTCTGCATTTCCAACAGCTTTAGATGGGGAAAAAAGAGGCCTTGCAAAAAGGAAGGCGCTTTTCCCTTATTCGTACCGGTTTGGTTGGTGGTGAAGATTGAAGGAATCAAAAGCAAAATGTTAACCCATCGCTGTTAATTGGCTAACTGTAGAAACTGTGGAGTCAAAAGAAAAAATTATAAAAAGATAAAGAGGTGGTAGGTTGAATTGACTTGAGAAAGCAAAAGGGCATCCATCGTTTTCCCTTTTGCAATGTTTGAACATGTCTGATCTTTGCCGTAGATGCAGACCCACCTGAGAAACTTCTGAGCAATTCTCGAATGAGGCCCGCTAATCGCGCCGAGGAACCTCATTCTTAGATGAATCGAATGAAAGCGGGTCTCCCAGAGAGTGAGTGTGGTTCGAGTGGGGCCGGAGGGGGGTTGGTGCTTTTGGAGGTCCTCTCCACCCAATCCGATTCGGCGCTTACTTCATAAAATGCAGTTGGGGATGGGGATTTGAGATAATTTGGGGCGGCGCTCTTCGAGTGTGAGTTTCGGCTAGCTCAAATTAATTATCGCGTGCGAAGTTTTAGCGTTCTAGAAAGAATATAAAGAAAGTTTACAGCATTCAGTTGGATGGAGATGTCGAGTTCTATGAGCAATTTGTCTCGTCACGTTACATTTGTATAGTAATTTTCCTCGTCTCTATGGTAATTTCTTGGATGAATTCTAACTCCAACATAGCCGATTTCTTTTCCTGAAAGGTGGTTCTAGGTCAAAGAAGTAAACTTCCAGCACTTTGTTCTGTAATATGGAGCGGGTGGTATGCTTTGAAGTCAAAAGTTCCTTTATCTTATACACATGAGAACATCTGCCAAAAGGTGAATTGAATAAATATGAGGGCAGCTTCCTTCGGGCACCACTTGTTAGCCTATGGAAATAATACCTGTTGCAATCTATCTCATCACCTGTTAGGTACCCAGCACTACCTCAAACTTTTGCAGTGACCCCTTTCGTTTTCTCCCCGAAATGCGCGCTCTGAACATGACACAGCGATGAATATGAACCAGATAACATAGCAATACAAGGGCAGCTTCCTTCAAGCAAACAAAAGTGTCTTTTGGCCTTGAGATTTCAAAAGGAAAGCCGCTTGTCTTCGTAGTTTCTCCTCTTTTTTTTTTGTACATCTAACACCCAGAGCTTGTAAATAAAGAAACAAAGAAGTTTCCCTTTGATGCAGGTGAATGGTAAGAGACAAATTTGTAAGCAAGATGGAGACCGGATCAAATGGACGCTCATGTATAGACCCGGTCGGATCTTGGGTTTAGAAGTCTTTATCCAGGCTCATCCACATTTTAAAAAGAGAATTCTAGAGTGGCTTCTACTTTTAACCTGTCACTTTGTGTAATACTTTTTTAGGAAACTCACATTTTCACTTTTATTTAACCCGAAATACTTGAAACCTTTAAAAGAAATTTCAAATATTAACATTTAAAGTTGTATATATTTTTTTGCATTATTTTCTTTCAAAACTTAAATAGCTTTGCATAAAGGTAGTCTGAACTTCCAGGTCTTTATGCTTTGTATTATTGTTCAATGTTCATGTATTGCAAAGACATGCATAAGAATTTCTAGAGCTTAGTATAGAAGTCCGTTTCTTGATAAGTTCAATTATCTCTGCGAAATATTGTGGAGCACAAAGAGAAGCATTTCACTTTGTTTGATTGAGGTAGTCTAAACTAGGGGTGAGCATGGTTCCAGGGTAGAATTTGGAACCTGAGACTCTGACCAGTGAGAAACTGTAGGTTTAGGTTTCAAGGTATGCATGGTAGGTTTCAGGTTTTAGGTAGGTGGAATCTGGAATCTGGATCCTAAAACCTGAAACCTAAACAAGTTTTTTGTGTTTTATCTTGGTCTATATCTTCACGCGATCCTGCGGTATTTCATGGCATTAGATGATGAGTGTATAATCTGGAATCACTAGTCCGAGCTTTCATTTTTCGACTTGTTAATGTTGAACATTTTTCATGTGTCTAAATATAAGTTGTGGTTAGTGGATCATAACAGAAGTGGTGGTCATTAAAGGTGATAATTCATTGTAATTGTTCAATTAATAATACATGTAGAACCTGAGTAGACCCTCGAATCTGTGATAGGGTAGGTTCCAAATTCCAAAAAATGAAGAACCTATTATCATCGGTGAAACTTATACAGAACATTGAATCGCTCACCCTAGTATCGAATTATGCAATGACTTCTCATTTTAGTTATATTTATTTGAACTGTAATGCTAGAAAATTAGTATTTTGTATTCTCTTTGGTGAATAACAAGCTTGTTCAATATTGTTGTATTCATCTTCGCTTTGTTTAATTAAAGATGAAATTAAAAAAAAAGAACCTATTAAATCCTGGAACCTATCTTGGAACCTATAACAAGGTAGGTTCCAGGTTCCATGTTCCAACGGGTAGGTTCTAAGTTCCAAAAATTGAGAAACATGTACCCAATGGTAGGTTTCAGGTTCCATGTGGAACCTGGAACTGCTCACCCTTAGTCTGAACTTCGGTTTTTTGGTGAATATTCGTCCAATTTTCGATTCCACATTTGGACCCACCTACCCACTCGGATCGTACCGATTTTTTTTTAAATTCTTATTATTCCAAAACCCTAATTCCAATTCTTTTCTTGCTCAAATTAAGTCATGCACACGCGTTGCTCGTGCCTCTCGCTCTCACTTCTCTCAGTCTCTCAGTCACGTAGCGCTCACGCCTTTATTGCGGCTCGACGCCTCTTAGACTTGGTTCTTGACGATCATTATAGCTTTTTTCGGGGAGATGATGATCATGTTTAGCTTATCACGAGCTTGTTCTATTAACATCACTCGTGTAGTAGTTTAGACTATGCAACAACACTTACAGTCTTGCAGGGAATAGGCAAAAAAGAATAGGAGATATGGCCGGTTCTTGGATTGATTGGAAATTGGGCCGAATTGGTCGGTCTGATTCCCAAGTGGCTCCAGCACCAGGTGTGCCGGTTCCCTGTTCCACAAACTGGAAATCGTCCCTTCTAGTCTAGTTCTCGATTTCAGGGTGGGAATTGGCCCACTTTGGAACCGATCACCTCTAAAATGGAGGTGACCATTGGGTAGATGCGAGTCCAACCAAGTAATAAGGTCCCATAACGTAAAGATAACGTTAAATTAGTCGGGCTTGGCCGAACTAGGTCGGGCTGCTGACTAAATAGTTTTGCCCAAGGTTGGCTTGAAATGCTGTCTGGGTCCATTTGGCCTAAGCGGGCATGGACGGGCCTGTGAGAGGAAAGTGAACTTGACTGACCTTGATAGAGAGGAGATCACCGCTTTGGAAGCAAACCATAGCAACGATGGTATCCACTACTTTAGAATTTTGTGAGGAGACCTGTCTATCATAGTGGAGAGAGATTGGTGGTTTGCTAACGCGCTGGTGGTGTTGCGGGACGAGCTGCCGACTCGGACCTTCGGGTCATATCAAGATAAAGTTATGACTAAATTAGAATATTCGTAGCGGATGGTGTTAGATTCCTATATGATTAGGGATGCGCACGAGGAGTTGTGGGGACCAGGATTGCATTCCTTGTCCCCCGTCCGGTGAGGTGGAGCTTTGCCCT